ATCGAAAACGACGGGAGCTCGTGTCCGGGAGGAGGTACTTGTATACCCCATTCTTTTACTTTGAACTGGACCTCGTGTCGGGGAGGTCCTTCTAAACCTATCTTTCTTAAGTCTCTGAACTCAGAGTAGTACTGATTTATTCGGAGAACTATACAACCAATTAACGGGGAGTCTTCACTGTAGTATAGAGGAGCCTTGTCTTCGTATAGAAGGAAAGAACACTCAAAGATAACCACTTGATTACCCAACTTCAAGTTGGAGATGATCAGTGGGTCACAAGTTGAAAAAAAGGTGCGATCGAATCTGTCTACGAACACATAATTTACCCAGATGTCGAAAAGATCATTCTCGTCGGGAATAGATATACAATCAACCACGGCGCAAATCTTACATTTTACGACTGATTGAGAGGTAGAGGTGGGAAATATATGGATAATCAAAGGGTCTCCAGTATTACGGTGAGTGAAATATGAAGGCACTTCTTCACCTGAAAACATCATCGACTCGCAGAAAACCAACTGTTTTTGAACCAAAGCTTCTTGATCCAACTTGAAGCAGTTGGAGAAATCCAATCTTGCTGTCTGTAAATGATCACCATCTGGAACTGGATGAGAAGACAGAGACTTTCGAAGTATGAGTCGTACCTTAAGTTGAATATCGTCTGTTGCTGCAATTGCCGACGCACTTGGACAGCCATTCAAGCTAACCTCAACCAATGCCCCGCAATCTGAAAAGTCAGCCATATCAAGATATCCTAGTTTAGACATGGGTAGGGAAACAGTGTGTAATTTGCTGCATCCTTGCATGCTTAGGTGTTTGAGCCTAGAGAATTTCTCGATCCACCAAGGAACCTCTTCAATCGATGTGTGGCGTAGAAAGAGATATACGAGGTTTCTTGAGATATCAGGAAAAGTCCTCAGCCGTGAGCATCCATTAAGATCAAGGCCAAATATAGTTTCAATGTTAATGTCTTTGGGAAGAGTCTCCAGATTTATGCAGTTTCTAATTTGCAAATACAGTAGTGGGAGATTCTGAATTGAAGAAGGAATCTCCACCAAACTTGGGACATCCGAGAGCATCAGCGTATGCAAAGTGGGAGAAACCATGAGGCGTGTAAACGGCTG